AAACGCTGCGCAAACTGTTGACGCTATATAAATCCTGTATAATAATAAGAAAAGGTCCAGGCAAGGAGGTGAGCGGCATATATTGTTTGAGCACGGGTGCATAGGAGCACTGAAGAATTATTAATTGCATGATTAGATGCATCTGTGAGAAGGCTTCACTGAAGTTTGGTGGAACACAGGATTGTGCAGAGCGATTCATAAAGAAAGTTCTCAAGAACTTTATATTAAGATATGGGATAAAGTTGAAAGACTGGGTTTACACATATTTTTGTGATTTCACAGGACACGGATATAGGCGACTGTTTGTAAGATTTTGAATGCTGTAATTGATTCACATATGATTTTGCACTGTATAGATGCCATTTATTTCATACACAGATTTTGGTTTGAAGATATTTTTGGGTTTATACTAAAGTCCTGGAAAAGGTGGAAGGGCGAAGCCACCTTTGGAAGAAAATAGGCCTGGACCTGAGGACAATCTTGTCTCTGTATGACAAAGGGTTTCTTACATTTAACGGCTGTGGATACTTACACATTATAGCAAAAGTTCAACTTTTAACTGACTTTAGTTTTGCTAAAAGTTGAGCCAGACCAAACTGCAGAAAAGACAAGATTCATCCCACAGAGTACGGAAATAAATATGTCTCGTACTAGCAGAAATATGCCTTCCATGTATAATGATAGACTTTGAGAAGTCAACTTCCTAGCTTTCAAGAGCATAGGGACGACCGAATCAGGTAGGCCCCTATCCTTCAAGTGACACTAAACTCAGAAGTTAAATCTTAAAAATGCATTCAAATACCTTATTAATAAAAATGTAACTTACTTGTACATCACTCAGCTGTAGATCCTCAAATCATCTCTGAATTCATGCTGACAATGTCCTTCCTTCTGGAGGGTGGCTACTTTTGTTCCTCATGGTCCCTGTGTGTGTTGTAAAGTAGCCACCGCTCCAAGCTCACGCATGTGATGGACTACAATCTCATGTTTAGTTTTCTCATTTGTATTGAGATTGTAGTCCATCACAGGAGCGAGTTTGGAGCGGTGGCTACTTTACAACACACACAGGGACCATGGGGAACAAAAGAAGCCCAAGTCAGCACCAATTCAGAGATGATTTGAGGATCTACAGCTGAGTGATACACAAGTAAGTTACATTTTTATTAATAGTTAACATACTTGAATGCATTTTTACTAAAACTCCTGAGTTTAGTGTCACTTTCAGGACCTGGGCTTCAAAAACCGGGCTATTAAATGAGCAACAAAGAAGCAGGGTGGTAAACTGGTCCTTGGAACAGAAGATTTGGACAATCTGCGAGGGCCCACAGAGAGTCTGCCAGGAGTCTGTCTAAGCCAGGGTACCACATCCACCTGGGTCAGTTCGGTGCAATGGTACCCTTCTTGGGGAAGGGTAGATCACTTTGAACTGATCCCACAGAGTCACCAGATAATTCACTGCAAAGGCTAGAGGGTCCTTGGACATGGTGACAAACTTGGTCAGTTATGTAGTTAAACCTGGAAGCCATGAGATTTACATCTGGTGTCCTCCAACTGCAACAGGTCTTAAACCACCTGGAGGTGAAGAAAACATTCTCCTAAAAGGTTGACTGAGGAAATCCAAATTAATCTTGGTCGGGTGACTTTGCAGACAAGAGATCAACAATTCAATGTTCCAGAATGTTGATCAGGAGGTAAGCCTTACAAAGTACATTGCACAGAGAGAGAGTCCAGGATTCTGGGCTCAGCCTCAGAGTCCTGACAAGCTAGCATCCCTGGGTACCTTCCAGGATTTTCCCAACTTCAGGGCTGGACTTGTGGGCAAACAGGCCAGGGAAAGACTTGTTTTGGGGTTCAGGCATTTGCAATGGTCCAGAGATGGGCTTTCCTGTCCCACACAACCAGAATGTTGCACTGTAATGGTCTAGTGCAGGGGTAGGCAACCTTGGCTCTCCAGCTGTTCTGAAACTACAAATCCCATCATGCTTCTGCATCTGGGAGTCATACCTGTGGCTTGCAATGCCTTATGGGATTTGTAGTTTCAGCACAGCTGGAGAGTCAAGGTTGCCTACCCCTGATCTGCCTCAAAGAAGAGCACCATTAAGCCCAGAACATTCATGCAAAAGCAGAGGGAATTTGTTGGCTCTTGGACTGAAGTGCTGGACATGGGAGTGGAGCGTTTGCAGCATTTCCTTTAGAAGGAAGGCCCTGGACAGGGAAGTATCCAGGAAAAGGCCTGGATACACAAAACCACGAGTTGGTTCCAGTGCCAACTTTTAAAGGTTCAGGGTCCACCCGAACCTGTTCAATGTTTAAACCAGGGGTAGGTGACCTTGGCACTTCAGCTGTTGTAGAACCACAAGTCCCTTGAGGCATTGCAAGACCCTGAGAGCCACGACTCACAGAGGCATGATGGGATTTGTGGTTTTAGCACAGTTGGAGTGCCGAGGTTGCCTACCCCTGGTTTGGACAGTCTTTTGGGCATTAACTGCCAATTTGTGGCCAACAGAGGTATAACCAGAGTGGGAGGGGTTTATACTAGGCTGTCCTGACAGCTCTTTGCTAGTGACTAATCGCCTGAAGGCAGCAGCATAACTCCGATGTACCTGAATTACATCCTGTGTCCCTTAATAGGAGAACTTTGGGGAGAGAGAAATTGACTCATCCCCATAGTTGGAGCCGGCGTGCAACACTAGATGTCACATGTCGGCTATATAGATTGAGAGCTGAGCAATCACAAACCGCTAATCGCTCAGTTCACAATCTTCTCCCTGCAGAGAGCAGTGACTGTCAGTCTGCTATACGCAGAGTTTTGGGTCACAGGAGGCCATTAGTAAATGTCCTCCTGTGACCCAAAAGAGAACTATAGCCAAAAAAAGTTTGGCAATAGTTCTTTTTTAATATACGATTAAGTGGATTTTTGCTAGCACAAGATTGGTTGATTGAAGTAAGCACACTTTCATTTTATTTACTAAACTAAGGGAATAGTCATTACAAATACTGAATCTTTGCTAGGTGAACAACCCCTTTTCTGTAAGCTTTAGAGAGGGAATTAAAGCAGAGCTTTATGCAGATAGCTAAATACACATTTGAAATATGTTCATACTGCTCCCATAAATGTATCAAAGTTTTTGTACTTCTATGTGGCCAGTCCCAAAACTTGCACAGCCCTGAGGCCTTGTTCACACCAAATGCAGAGCAGATCCGGTCAGGTTTCGGCACACGCACGCTAGTCTTTTAGATGCGTTTTTGGCTTTAAAAAAAAAAAAAACATGGGCTTTCAGTGCGTTCCAGTCATTTGCATGCATTTTTGATGCATTTGCAGATCCAGAGCAGGTAAAATAGGGCCTGCTGCAGTTTTTTTACCTGCTCTGGATCTGCACGCTGCAATGTGAACTGGAGTTAAAAATACCATAGGAATACATTGGACACAGTTTTGATCCGGTCTGCACCGGCTCCGCGCTTGGTGTGAACTACCCCCGATAGCCAGTAGAGTCAGGCTGGTGACTTAGCTATACTACTTAAAAATAAAAAAGCGGAGAAAAGTTAAGTCACCTTCTTCCCCCAGCTTTTGATTGGGCAGTGAAGAAGAATCAGTGAACTAATAACTCAACCCCCTCCTCCTGTGAACATGTTCCTCGTCATGTGCACTGCAGCAGACCGATTGGTTCCTAGTGCTGCACTTTCCTCTCCCCGTCTGAGCGCTACTGTATAGTCAGTCAATTAAGAGGTCAACACCAAGTCAATTCAAGTATTTAAAAATACATATCTGCACTACGTATTGTATTCCTTATATCTGTCTAGATTTGATATTTAAACCGATGCAACTTAGGTGTGAGAAAAAAAAGAAGAACTCACCATGCGATGTTTATATTCTTCAGAAGCTTCATGGACAGCTGTATCCCATGGATTAGGACCACTGGCATAGACAAGATTAGGATCTAATTGCCAGTATCTAAATATGAAGATTTGTACCAAATAGTGAAAATTAGAAATGTAAAAATTACCTGACGAATATTGTTACTGCAAAAGAAGATACTTACTTGACTGGTTTCCCAAATGCCATACAATCTTCCTGTAAACAAAGAGTTTTATGTTACAAATAACTGCAGTAATCACACAAGCCAAGGCTATCAATAGTAAAATATATTTGACATCAATTACCAAAAACATATCAGCTGTCATTTTTTTATTTGTGTAGAAAAGCCTCCAATTAGTTGTTATTGGCAATAACCTAGACAGTCATGTACCATGACTATTCAAATGTATCAGTACCAAGTGTAATCATTCTCTTCAGTATTTTCCTGCCCAATTGTGCTATCTAAAAACGGTTGCAGCTATGTATCAAAGTGTACTCGTTGACGCTACCACAGAGTCAAATAAGAAGCTAAAAAGATTTTCACATCAAATATTTCCTTAAAACTCGCAGGTAGCAGCTGATAGGATATAGTTGCAAAATGTACTCATTCTTTTATAATCAGAGGGTATGACCGTGAGCATGTGTACACTCTGGACTTTATGCAGTTCTACCAAATAGGAGTAAGTAGGGGATCACTGTATCATACACTTTGAGAAACACCTTGCTATACTTTAATGTAAGCAAATAGCCAATGTTCTGCTTTTGCTGTCTTGTAACAATTTTATTCACATGCATTATGTATAGGCTGTCAAAATCTCCTGATTGCTATAATGATTTTTCTATGCCTAGCAATCTCTGTGCATTATACACTATAAAACACTTAAAGCCTAACTCCTGACACAATAATCTTACCACGTTTAAAACATTCAAACCTTCCAGAGCCACAAAAGCAATCTCTCACGATGAATGCTTTCTTCTATACCCATCAAATCTTGTTTACATGCCAAGGGAAATGCCTCACTCCCACGGAGGTCTACGAGACCTAAAGCACTTACATCCAGGGTGGCCAGGAAGTACAGCGGGCACTGTACACCCCTCAGCATGTAAACAAGGGTTTGTCACAGGTCAAATTATCGTGCCCGGAGTTGGGCTTTAAGCAACACCATTCTGTGGTCAAATCACATCCCCCCCAGCACCCAACTACTTCTTCCACCGAAGTAGGGCTGCAACAACTAAATCGACATAATCGATTATAATCGATTATTGAAAAAGTTGCCAACTTTTTCAATAATCGATTAATCGGCTTCTGATCAGTTGGCCCTGTTCACGGCTCCACACGCTGTGCACCGCACCTCCTCCTCACCTCACGCTCGCCGCTGCCAGACCCGCTCGCATCCACACTCCACACGCCGCACCTCAGTGTTGAGGTGTGACAATTTCAGATGTCCTGTGAAATTATTTTAAACAGACCTCTGAATATGCCTCTGATGATATCAAAGACCTCATAGGCTCCTGTGATGCTAGATAAGAAAAGGTTGTTTTGACACAGTCTAATCTGAGAAAGTGCTCTGCAGCTCCAAATCAGAAATTATATCCTAAAGTTCCATATTTTTACTGATTGCTTTGTCACATTAAACTGTGTGAATTAATATATCTGTTAGAGAGCCAGTTTTATCTATAGGTCCATTTTAACAATGCTAAAGCCAAGGAACAGGGGTGGGGAATTGCTATCGTCAGACACCCAGGACAAGCAGTTCCAGGTTCCGGGCGGGTGTTTCCTACGATTAGCCCTGCTTTGGGCAAGCAGGGCTAAATGTAGAGCGAGGGAGCCGTTTTGTACAAGTGATCTAGACGGCTGTAGCCTGTTACAGCAATATATCTGAAAAAAGAAACTGGAACAGTCAAACTGTTGGGAGGAGAGGAGAGGCATGGCCAGCCGCAGGGCTGTGTGCGTCTATGGATGCACACAGCTACTGCGGGCATGGCCGGGAACACACATACATGGAGAGGGAGAGAAATACGGGGACCCACTAGAAAACAAGGAATTGAAAAATGTAAAAAAAAAAAAAAACACCCCACAAAAAAACCCACAAAGATCTTTAAATATGCGGGCCTCCCATTGATAAAAATAAAACGAAAGGTTTAATATCACTTTAAAGTTGTAGGTTTAGCTCCACGCTTTAAGGGGTCAGATGTTTTTTATTCTATTCCCACTGGGCAAACCGCAAAACTATTGGCAACTAAAATTACACAGGACACCTACACGTGACTGAAATTATATATGTGGCAGAGCAATTTTAAAGAATTTCTATAATCTGAATCAGAAACTGATCATCACAGCCAAAAGCATTCCCGGAGGACTGATTGTTGACTATACGCATATACCGCCATGAATCTCCTTTATATCTGGATGCATTATATCTGCTTTAGATGACAAAGTGGTGACCCAATATGAATTAAATTGTCTACAACAGATGTACTTACAGACACAAAATAAGGTCCAGCAAAGTCTCGGATTATACCAGATGATGTACAGATTCCCATGTGACCAATGAATGGAAATAGCCATCTAAAAGACACATACAGGTATAGAATATACAAACCAAATTATTTTTACTTTCAATGTTTACGTTTCCATAACATCCTAGTAGGGATGCATCGATACCGATACTAGTATTGGTATCGGTGCCGATACCGAGTATTTGGGTGAGTACTCGTACTCGCCCAAATGCTCCGATACCTAGCACGAGTACTTCCTGTATCAGAAACCGGGCAGCGAATCATTACACGCTGCTCGGTTTCCTGATTGGCCAGGAAACGGCTCCATGCTCTCGCATCACAAGTGACGAGAGAGCATGGAGCCGACTTCCCGGCCAATCAGGAAGCCGGGTAGCGTGCAATGACGCGCTGCCCGGCTTCTCGATTGGTCAGGAAGCTAGCAAATCCAGGAAGCCGGGCGCCGTGTAATGACGCAGTGCCCGGCATTCTGATTGGCCGGGAAGCCAACATCATGCTCCCTCCTCATCATCTCATGAATCATAATATTAGGAAAGTGACCTTAAAGCATTAGTTTGTATTGCTTTAGAAAAAATGTGACCTGTCTCTTTAAGAAAAAGTATCGGTAATTGGTATCTGCGAGTACTTGAGCAAAAGTATCGGTACTCGTACTCGGCCTTAAAAAAGTGGTATCGGTGCATCCCTACATCCTAGTATTCACCACAGTGTAACTTAAAGCCCACAGTATTTCCACATTTGTGGTCAGATTTGAGACAAGTCCACATATGTTTATGTGTTCGCATTCACACAGCATACCAGAAAAAGAGTTTTTACAAATTGTTCTTGTTTTTTAGATGTTTCTAGGGAGAAGGCCTTTGGGCAGACTATAAGCTACTCTGAGCAATCAAAGTGAGTCTGAGCCTGTACCCAAAAAAAGTAAGTTTCCCCTCATTAACATATAGTGCAGGAGCCAGACTTCTAGATGTTTAGTTTATTGTTAGTAGGAATGCACCGAAATTTCATCCGCCGAAACATTTCAGCCGAAAATGGTACTATAGGCAAAATACCGATAGTACAAAAATGCTGTGCAGCCCTAGCATCTCTCTAGGGCTGCAACCAACTAATCGATTAATCCATAATAAGAATAGTTGCCAACTATTCTCGTTATCGATTAGTTGGATTCCCTAACTCTCTCCTCCACGCTGGGAGGAGGGCACAGCAAGCAGTGGGTGGGTGCAATAGCCAGCCTGCTATTGCGATTTGAAATGGCCAACAGCAAGCTGGCTATTGCACCAGTCCACCACCTGCTGTATTTACATACAGTTGCCGTCTGCAGAATCTTGCCACTGGCAGCTCTCATTCCCTGGCTGAAGCTACTGAAGTGCCATGTGCTTACAATACAATAGAAAAAAAAAAAGTAATTTCGGTTTCGGCCTGACAAATTGTGCTTTGGGAGGTGTGCAGCGCCATTCATTTCAATGGCACCCCAAACACGCCTCCCACCCACAGTGTGATTGCCCGCACTAGAATACACGATATTGCAATGCCGTGCGTTCCAGTACAGTGCGATTGCAAAGAATTGTGCATGCAGATTTATTCTGAAGTAAACTTTATGTTTGTAACATCGCATTTGTGTATTTTATTTTAGATTTAAGGATGGTATTTAATTTTTTTATCAGATTGTTAAAAAAAAATATTTAGTTGCGGCCCTACTTCTCTCCTCCCTGCTGGGCGCCCGTCTGTGTTCCCTCCGATCTCCGCTGCTTTCTCCCGACTGTGACGACAGAGGCAGCGGGGATCAGAGGGGACACAGAGCCAATCCAGGTGCCTGCACCCAGCAGGGAGGCGAGAAGCTGTCAGGAGACCGAGCAGGGTAGTTCTGGGAGGAGAGAGGATGTCAGGAGGCCAAGCAGGGCGGCGTGGGAGGAGAGCTCAGCTCCTTTGACAGGAGGAGCAGTCAGGATGGATAGCGGAGCGATCAGCACTGAATGCTGAGCTTTTGTAAATAAATGAGGACATAGTAAACTTACTATATCCCCAGTTATGAATGAATAGGAAGTGCTATACATCCCTTTCTCCATTCATAAATGAACAGGCTTACTGAGGGTTTCCTGTTCATTGAGTGCTGGGGCTGCAGAAAAAGAAACTGAGGACTGCGGAAGCATTTTCTTTAGCCAAGTTCTATACACTCTTACGATAACACCGGGATAGGTGTCCACACAACACAGTGAGGGAAACGGCTTCGCTCTGGGTCAGGCTTCATTTTCTCCTCCACCACTTCCGCCATCCACGGGCAACACCTGTCGCAGCTCCACTTGCTGGTAGTGAGGTCACATCCGCCGTTTACCCAGAATACAAAAGGTTTGTGGCTTTGGTCACAGAAAACGGTCTTCCTCAGTCTTTTTCAATTACTGTTATAGCAAAACATTCAAATGGTTTTGTCAGTCATTTATCTGGCAGCTTGTGACCGTAAAGAAAAGCACATAAGTATATTCATGTTTGAGATGTGTATATCCCTCTGCGAAAGCAACAGTTATTGTGACATTACTATGGCCCACGGTGTCTATGCAATGCATCCTCAAATAGAGTAACTGTGTGGTGTTAGGACCTTAATGCTAACCCTAGGCAATTCATGTGCTTCCATAAAAGTGTGCACCAATACATGTAGCAATATGTCTTGTCCTATCGGCTTATGAAAACTCTTAATAAAATCCAATCAAAATATGCTCCACCTCAGAGCCACTCTGGTAAAAGAAATACTGACATTAAGACAGAGAGCATACATAGGTAATGCATTAAAAGCCAGCTTTGCCAAAACAAAGCTGCAATATATTATGTAAAAAATAGGATTTTTGTACTCACCGTAAAATCCTTTTCTCTCCGTTCATAGAAGGGGATAGACGCTAGGCAAAAAACTGGAGACTGGTCAGCAGGTGGGGGGGGGTTTGGCCACCGGCAGGGGCCGCCCCTAGGCTGTAATTGGTCTTTAGTTTTGTGCCTAGCGTCCTTCTCCTGCAGGTGGCGATATTACCCTACCATTCAGGATCTACGATCTGTTGCCTGTGTCCTTCAATGAACGGGAGAGAAAAGCCACTATTAACACAAGATTATTCATATGGCACATGTAACAGTACTTAAAGCCCAATGTTTGGGTTATTTTTTTCATTAAAAAGTTCCTGTAGGCAGAGAAAAAAAACAAACAGCTCAGGCAGCTATACTCACCTTCAATCTGGAGAAGCTGTCCCTCACAGTACCCCTTTTCCACCACAAGATATCCCCCAGGGTTTGATGACACTCAGTGCTGCTAAATATGGAAGACTGAGGACATACTATGAATGCAGGGCATCACCACAGCACCCCTCAGTCACACTGTGCTGGAGAAGAGAGTAGTGCTAACTAGTTGCGGAACAAACAGCATTACATTTTTCAAATAACCTTATTGTGGTGCCATGCATTGCGCTGTGCTGCAACACAGCGCAATGCATGGCTGAGCGCAATGCATGCTGCAACACAGCACAATGCATGGCTGAGTTCTGCTTCATCCTGCAGGAGTTCAAGAATTATGGGTACATCCAGGTAGGAATTTTTGTTGTTGCAACAGGAGAAAAAGGTTCTCCAGAATTTGACATACATCTTCCTGGTGGATAATTTATGGCTATTGATCACCGTATCCGAGCATTCCCTGGTCTTTAAGGGATCCCTCAAGAGCCAGGCCATCAGTGGAAACAATTGTGGATTGGGATGACAGACCAGCCCCTGAACCAGAAGATTCTCATGTTCTGGGAAGGGCCAATGAAGTTCTAAACTGAAATTTTGCAGGCTGGCGAACTAGGCCCTCTTGGGCCACCAAGATGCTATAAGGATCAGAGTACACTAAAACTGTTCCATCTTCTGAACAATCTAAGGGAGAAGAGATCTTCCGGTTTTTTTATGGAGGCAAAAAGGTCTACCTTGGGTAATCTTCATTTCTCTACTATCTGGAAGAAATACCTCTTGAATGAGCCCCACTCAGCACTTGCTGAGAAAATCTGCTACTGTATAATGGTCCCTTTTTTGTGAACATTCTCTGACCCCCTGACTAAATGTTGCAGGGCTATTAATGATTGCCAGCTCATGATAATTAAACAAGACTACTGTCATTGCTGTCTCATATACTCATTGCACCCAATGAGTGGAGGCATAGGCTCCCCAGCCTCAGCATCCATGGTAATCCTGATTAGTTCAAACTGATTCCAAGGTTTTTTTTGTCTCCAGCCAAGCCAAATCCACACAGACTGCTTGAGGGAAGCATGATTAGAGACTAACGATCTTACTATGCAATTCCATTCTGAAAAAAGGAAACTGTAAACTTCTGGAACGCAACTGTGCACAAATTATTGATGGGATAGAAGTCATCATAAACCTTAGAACCCTCATGACTTGTCTGACTGTTGTAAATGGCTGCTCCTTTATACTTTAAACCAGGGACACCAGTTTGTCTATTTTTTCTTGTCAGGAAAATCCAATGGAACTCTGGATTTGGTAGCCTAAAGAGACTATGGATTGTGAAGGTAGTAGAAAGGGTCTGCAGGACCTCAGTAAGGGCAGAGGATTATCTCTCCCTTTAATTCCTGGAATTTGTTGACACTCAGAAAGATCCCACGCCTCGCACACTCAGTGCTCTACCTTTACACATATGTGGGGAAAAAATGCTTTATCCCCACCAGATCTTGCAGTTAAAGTAGTACTAAAGGCAGGGCGTTTTGTTTACCTTAAAAGGAGAACTATGGGGTTAGGGCTTTTCCCCATAGTTCTCCTAAGGGTAACGAGAGGACACAAACCAGCGTCCTCCTGTCACCCTAAGCTCAGTATACCGCGAGCTACAGCTCACGGTATATTGAGACGCCGGGACGGATCCCGACATTACTGTCTGGATCCACCCAGCTGCGGAATTGACAGCTGGCCTTGCCTATCTAGAGGCAGAGCCAGCTGTGCCCCGCCCCTTCCCCTGTCCGTTTCGCCAGTCAGCGCTGGAGGATCGAACAGGAGAGGGAGGGAATCCCTGCAGGGAGTCGTGAGTGACAGTCACTGCTCTCTGCAGGGATAGATCGAGAAGTGATCGAGCGACGCTATGTGTTGGCTCAGTTCCCATTCTATTGAGCCGACCTGTAACAGTTTAACTGTCACAGGTCGGCTAGAACTATGAGGCTGAGTGATTTTCACTCGCCTCATAATTCTCCTTTAACGCATTCTCTGCATTATGGTAAAAGACGCCCTGTACCTTTCTGTATTCCAGTCCCCCCCGCCCTCACTTAGCTGTGGCCACTTGGCACCGCTGCTGGGTCCCTGAAAATATCCCTTCTGGTTGCAGGGGTGGGGGAATACAGAGGTCAGAGGAAGTTTTGACTCCTTCTCCTCCCAACAGATTGACTGATGGCAAAGGAGGAGCATGGCTTGCAGCACATTGCGTGTGTCTATGGACGCACACAGCTATTTGCAGCCATAGCCGGGAATGCATACACATGTGTCTCTTCAGGAGCCAGATAGCTGATGGAGACAACAGCAACAAGCAGGAAGAGGAGAGCGGTTTGGGGATCAGCTTAAGAACGAGGAAAGAAATAGAGTTAAAGGGTAGCAATTTTATGTAAATATGACCATTCTAACCATATTAATTAAAAAAGGAAAGTTTACTATCACATTAAGAATGAGATCTCCCAGGAAGGCACTGGGGAAGTAACCCAACCAGAGGGGCAGCTGTGGGGCCCTGTCAACAACACTAATGTCTTTTTAAATCAGGACGTGAGTTAATACAAATCGTAAGGTAATAAATAAATCTTTTTTTTTTTTTTTTACCTAGGCCGTACAGATGTTTTAGTATCAGCAAGCACTAGGGTTTGAAGTACACTAGTATCAGAAGAAGCCCCAGTCAGAGAGAGAGAAGACTACAGGAAGTAAGGAGTGCCATAGCCAGTAGCTGCGATTTGCCCAGCACAAAGTAGCCGACATTACACTGAGAAAGCAGCCGGACCCTGGAAGAAGGACCGGTCCTCGTTTTATTGTCCTGGTTTCAGCCATTACCTGGAATAAGGAAGCGATTCAGTTGGCCTCCATAGTGATCTCCGGAAGGAGGAGGAGCCCGGCTTCTGGAACAGAAAAAACACAGCGCAGGGTCCTACAACAAAGCAGCTGAAAACATGACAGCTCCGCACAATTTCCGGTAACCTCCGGGAGAGACCACTGAGAAGGAGGGGGATGGGAAAACAGATAGTGCGGCTTCTGCGCTCCCGGTCATTGGTAAGGGAGGGGGGGAGATGAAAAATGAGTTTGTCTTCTTCCTCCCCACCAGAGAAAGGTGAATGCGTGGAGTAAATAAAGCTTGCTGGTGAGAGCTGTGTTTAATGTACCCGAGGGCTCCTGAGGATGTAATACAATGGCCACTGCGGCTCCGGGTTATGTGAGGTAGCAGAATTACCTGACGCACAGCTGAGGAGGCCTCCCAGACAAAAGCTGCACGTCTGGCTCGCGTGTCTTTTCATTATTGTGATGCCATTTTCTGGCCGCCCATTGTCTTAAAGTGAACCTGTCACTTGCCCAAAGTTCCTGAAATAAGCTGTACCTGTAGGAAATAAAGCAAATACTTGCCTCTCTTGCTGCCTCCATTTTAGGGATCCTCCTCTGAAGTGTCCTTTGACCCTTCCAGGAGTGTTGATATGCTGTGTGCCTGGCTCCACATGCTGACCTCCTGGCCATTACTGGACATGGAGGTCGGTTGGAAAAACTACTGACTTGAGTGCTCCTAGAAGTGTTTGTTTTAGAAGGCGCTTTTAGCGTTGGATTTTTTTATACAAAAAGTGGCAGGCAGCAGGAAAAATACTTTAAAGGAGAACTATGAGGCGAGTGCTTTTCACTCGCCTCATAGTTCTAGCCGTCCTGTGACAATGAGACTGTCACAGGTCGGCTCAGTAGATCGGGAGGTGAGCGAACACATACCGGCGTTTACTCACCTCTCGATCCTGTCACGGCTCTCTGCCATGACAGGGGAGGGGCTGGATACCCCGCTCCGATCCGCCAGCACTGACTGGCGGAGGGGGCAGGTGTCAGTCACGCAGCTGGGCGGATCCTGTCACAATTGTCGGGATCCGCTGCAGCGTCTCAGTATACCGCGAGCAGCGGCATCTCAGTATACTGAGCCTAGGAGGACGCTAGTTTGTGTCCTCCCGTTACCCTAAGGAGAACTACGGGGAAAAGCCCTAACCCCATGGTTCTTTAAAAGAGAAGCAACACATACCCTCCCTGGTTCACAGCCGACTCTAAGGACCCATTCACACCTAGGCGACAGCGTTTTCATTTTCATACATATGCGTTTTTGTCTAGCCTTTTTACGTTAAGGCAGGTTTCTTAGCTGGCAGATTGTGAGACAATGTAAACCGCCAAAGGCGTGCAAAACGCATAAAAAAAAGCTTGTGTCTTGTGTTTCCATAGAAGTCTATGGGGCCAAACATGCAGAAAAGTATCTCATGTCTGCAGGTGACAAAATGCTCAGGCGTGAACAAGGGTCTTAGAAAATAATGGAACGCCTTGTGTTGAACATTTTGTAGCCCCAAGATTTTAGCTACAAAACACATAGGTGTGAACAGGGACTAAAGGTGGCTATACACCTTACAACCATCGCACGACTTTCGTTGTGCGATGGTTGTAAGGTGATTAAAATTCCGTATGAACTGCCCATCTTGGACAGGCAGATCGTACTTGCGATCATCACAAGTCCTCCCAGCTGAGGGGAGGGCTTACAGATGATTGCAATGGTGAGCGGGCAGTGTGCGCCTGCGCACCTCGGCCCGTGCGGCTTCCGCCTTGCGAACGCGCTACCAACCCGCCGAAAATCGTATTTTTTTCTAATCGGGTTTTCTAGGCAACTGAGGAGAATCCTGACAATATTGTTGGGATTCTTCTCAGCGGCGTTGCCGCTCTGCTCTGTCAGCTTATAGTGGCCATTAGTCTGCTATCTGCTGACACTGGATCACAGGAGTGTATAGTGAATGTACTCCTGTGTCCCAAACATGAAGTAAAGCCAAAAAAGTATCCCCTTTAAGCTGGCCATACACTGTACAACCCTCGCAAGACTTTTGTCTTGCGAGGGTTGTAAAGTACTTAAAAAAACGTACGATCTGCCTATCTTGGACAGGCAGATCGTACTTGCGATCATCGCAAGCCCGCCCCCCCGAGGGGCGGGCTTACGATGACTGTAATGAGGGGCGGGCTTACAATGACTGCAAACGGGCTGTGTGCATGTGCGGCCTAACTCGCCAAGAATCGTACGATTCCCGGCGGGTTTTCTAGCATGCTGGTTCGACGGAAGACGTGCGATCGTACAGCAGAAACGCTTACACTGCACGATTCTCGTACGATCGCGTGATTTCCTGCGATTCTCGTACGAGAATCGCGCAGTGTATGGGCACCTTTACCCCTATTTTAATGAGGGTAGTAATGGAAAGAAGCTTGTTTGTGACTAGCACAGTAGATCTCCTTCCATGGCTTCCTACAAGTACATCTAACAAGCACCAGCATGCTTTGGTATTATGTAATAGTCAATCTACTGAACAGATGCAGATTGAGACACTTTCATATGATTTGCACGTTAGCTAGTAGTAGCTAGTCACATTCAGCTGGACTTGTTCTGTAATGCTTTTGATGATAATAAGTTGTGACGTGCCTCCAACTAAGTGAGAAAAGGAGATTCTTTCCTCTCAGATTCATAAGGAAGCATCATACACAAGCAAATCATCATAAGTACCACTATACCCGCTCAGCTATAGGCACACAAATGCATAAACAGTACTTAGCAGAGGTCATTACACCCCATTGTAAAAATTGCCATCTCATAGGATCTCTAGCAGAGTACTCAACAGACTCTAATGAATCCAGACTAGAATTGGGGGTCATAAATCTCCAGCACCAAAGCTTGCTAATAGTTTAGTATGAATGTCATAAAATAATCTAGCAGAATGCACATTGGGAAGCCTGGCCTTACGTGAGCTGACTGCCCATTTAGGCTGCATTCACACCTAAGCGACACCTATTAAGCGCGTTTTGGCATGCGTATGTTAAATTGTGCGTTTTTGTGAGCAGATTTTTGCACATTCATATGAAATAATCAAAACACACGTTTTCTATTGACTCTATAGGGATAAAACATGCTGAAATTTGCCCCAAAGTAGCTCATGTACTGGTTTGCGCAACAGGCGTTTTTCTTCATGCGACAAAACGCAAGGGTGTGAACATGGGCCATAGAAAAGAATGGGATTCCTGGGGTTGAGCGTTTTGTCGTGCTGAATCAGCTGTGACAATACGCCTAGGTGTGAACGGGGCCTTGTACCTATACAGCGCTCATCTCCAGTCATATGCCATAGTATTTACTGTAATGGATATAGCTTCATAACACCGGGCTACATTAATGTATAAGAATGTAACAATCATTTCAAGACCGAACAGCTCTGTATTACAAGGTACAGAAAGCTGATGGGACACATTAGCCCTCCTGAGGAAGTCATACATAAGATGGATATCATGAGTTCCTTCTGGGCACTAATATATTGGTCATCAGACTATAATACATGGTCCTGTGAAAATATGGATGCAATCTACTCTGGAGGGAGTTTCTGCTGTAAATCTCATAGCCTCGTTCATCACACTCCTGAGTCCCCTTCTCAGACCCTTTGATGGGCCGTGATATTGCTGAAACGTCCTTGCGAGCATGCCCACCTACACTGGGTTATGGCTGTCTGACAGTGGATATGCCAGCCTCCAAGGCTGGTGTATCCACTGCCAGCCATAACCCAGCGCAGGCCCCCCCCCCCCCTCTACTTCAGTCATTGGTTGCCAGGCCTGATGATATTAGGCAGGCAGGGCCAGCTTGTCAACTACAAGCCCCCACTGTGGTTTTTAAGTCCTCCATTTCTCTGAAGGGCCCGGGACCACAGCACATAGTGTCAAGAGCAAAATGGAGAATGTCCATTTCCCGATCTGCCCTGTGATCATTGACGTATGAATGCAGCTGTCAGTGCTTCCAGCATCAGAACTGTCAGAAGCCAACTAAAGTGCCAGGTGAACCAAAGATGAACCACATTCCTGTGCTTCATCATCGGTGTTGGAGGTACAGGGAAGACATCAGGAGTCTAATAGACCCCTAATGTCTCTATAAAGAGTACCTGACGCCTCCAAATTCTGTCACATAGGGGCTTGTTATCCCCTTTGTAATAGCAAAGGCTAAGTGAAAAAAGTAACAAAAATATGCTAAAAAAGTAGAAAAAATAATAACAAAAATAAAAGATGATTAAAAGTAAAAAAATAATTAAACAAAAAAAGATAAGTAACAAATAATAATAAATAAAAGCCCAACCCTGCCACCCCAGCCATCTGATTCGAATGAACACGTGCACATAAGGCATGCACATGTATGTAAACGGGTAACAGTGCAATCAGTTCACTGTTCCTGAGAACACACACCAGCAACTGTGTGTTGTAGTGAATGCAGCCTAAATAGCGGAGCACAGGACGGTCTGAGTGGCAGTTCTATCCGGACCTCTGCTCGGGGAAACATTTTACTCACCGGGCCTCCTTGTATTCACTGCCCCTACTCTAGAGGGTCCTCAGAATATGGCTTCATCGGGAGCTGTCAATTTTCCATAGAACTAAGCACTGTGACGCTTAGTTCTATGGAACTAAGCACTGTGACGCTCAGTTCTAAAGGCCACCACCTAAAGTTGGTGGAGAAAAAATTCCAACACAAGAAGGTTTTTTTACAGTAAGAGCGGTTAAGGTCTGGAACTCGCTGCCATCGGCAGTGATTTCAGCCAAGAGTGTAGATTTGTTCAAGAAACGTTTGGACAATTTCTTGAGGGACCGTAATATCCAGTATCCCTAAGAATGAGATGATTATGGGTTGGACTTGATGGACGTATGTCTTTATTCAACCCCAAATACTATGTAACTATGTAAGCACTAACACTGAGAATCATTCTAAAGGTTCACATACACTAGCCGGATTTCGGCCAGTTTTTAACCACTTGCTGACCAGGTTATTAAACCCTCTTTCTGTCCAGGCCATTTTTCAGTATTCAGCGCTGCAGTACTTTGACTGGCATTTATTCCGTCATGCAACGCTGTACTGAAATGAATTTTGTACCA